CCACCTCGTGGAAGAAGGGCGAAAAAATGAGGCACCCTGATCGACGCGGAAAGGAAGTAGAAGTCTGCTAGGGGTAGGTCGGTATTGTAGGTACCTACGTACAGAAGACCGCCGTCAGCAGCGGTACCCAAAGAGTTGCCACTCCATTGTGCCGTGCACTGAGTTTTTAATTAAGGAGCTGGGCGCGAATTCCTCGAGATCTCGCGCACAGCCACGTCTGTACGTAACTATATATATGTATATATATACACGTTGGACACATAAATACGCTCGATCTGTGTATCCCGTGTATACTTGCGTAACAGTCTTGTGCACCGTGCTTCGTATGGTTTTAATATCCGTATAAAGTTTGGCAAGCGTGTGTCTTACGTGGCTGTAAGTACACCCGGGGAGTTTCCTTTGTAGGATATAAGGACTCTCTTCTGGCACGGAGCTTCTCTCCTCGCATTTTCCTCCACTTTTCCTCGGCCATCACTCGAGCTCCCGAGGAGCCAAGGACGTACCGGTCAAAGACCAAAAGTTTCATCTTTTCATTAAGGTCCAGGATGAAAACGAACGATGCACCTCAGACTCTCTTTTCTACTCCACTTCCACTTGTGCTTCTACGGCCTGTATCTTAGGTTAGGAGGAGGGCTCTCGTCACTACGTCACTGCTTCTACTCTTGGTATCTTTACCCCTTTTTTTTACGATTTCCTTGTAGAACCACCACCCCTCATAGGCCCTTTCGACTGCTCGATCCTTTTGTCTCAAAGGACTTGGTACTTGCTCATTTCGCGGAATCCCTTTCTTTCGAGGGCCAGAGTACCCGCTCGGCCCCACCGCCATTGGTCGTTTGGCCGATGCCCGCGGGACCCGGTACGACTTTCACAAGGAATTCAACGAATCTATCAAACCCTCGTCTTTCTCTTTTTAGCCCTCTACTTTGTACCCTTGACAAACTTGTGGATCTCAGCATCCCTCAAATCGATCATCATGCGCGTTCCTATGGAATAAAAACTTGCGACATCCATGGCCAATTATTTCCCCACCCGTCCGGCTGCCTCCGGTTGTCCTTCGTTCTCGAGGAACGCGGTACGATGAAAATGGAGAACAGGAGAGAGAGGATACGGGAAATAAAAAAAAAAATTAAGAGAGAAAGAGAGAGCGATAGTAATTACGAGACTATAACTCCACCCCGGAAGCTCACATGCTCGCAGAATAGCAGTAACGTAGCAGTTAGGAAGCATAGCACATAATAAGGAAAGGGTTACCTCTCGTATGTACCTATGTGCATACGAGCCTACTTACCAAGCTAGCTAGGACACGTAGAAGGTAGGTAGTTAGGTAGGGTGGGAGGGTGGTAGGCAGGTACCGTTAGTTAACGCAGCAGCCAGTACCTACCTCAAGGCTCGAATTTTCTCGAGCCCCACCGCGGCGAACCGGCAGCAGCTTATTCCTCACAATAAGGGAAAACCAGGACTGGGCTCTGACGTGTATGCACGAAAACGAGAGAGAAAGAAAAAAAAGGAAAAATAGAGGGAAAAAAAGGAGAGCAGAAAGAAAAGAGGAAAGGAAAAAGAGAAGAAATACGGACGCTCGTCCTACGTCTCCTCCACAGGTACACATTAGGGGTGGTGCATACACAGACTTTTCCTACCTTCTGCACGCGGCTGTTATACTGCACGGATATACGTATACATACCTACATACACTACCCGTATGACGCTCCGCTATACGTATATACTATTTATCGTTATAGTACAGCTTGGGCATTCCTATAGCAAGTGTAGGTATGACGTAACGTGGCGCCCGTCTGACAGCCAACACGCGTGTTGCTCTCCAGTGTCCGTGCACTCGCGTGCTTTTAGCATTTTCGCTAAATGGCCCTCGCCGTCGCACGACGCATACAAAATCTTGTGGAATTAAAAAACACGCGCTCAAGTAAAACACACGGCCCGTGCGTGGAGATTGCCTCTCGGCCCGTTTGTAGTCAAGATTTCGGTAAACTGCTGCGTCGCTTTTAATTGGACGCTTTCTTTCAGTCGTGGCGCACTGGTTAGAGAGAGTCTTTACTTTTTTTCCAACCCCTTCTTCGCGGTGCGCTTCCAACCCCCCCGCTCAGTCTACGCCTTCCGCTGGTAACCATCATCCACGTCGTGGTTAGTACTTTTCCTCGGGTCATCGTTGCTATACTCTTTCAAGTACGTAATAAAATGTCTTTACTGTCAACCTTTAACTTCGTCTTTCCGGGACGACCTAATGAGCGTCAACTAATTTTCTTGAGAATCTATCCGCAAGCGCTAAACGAGGCAGGGGTTGTGGTTCAGGAGTGCGGTGCGATGGGGTGGTGGTTGGCCGGGGCGAAGGAGACCCGTACACGCGAGCGGTCACGTGTCTGACGAGCCGATAAGGCTTGAAAAAAGGAAACTTGTATTTAGAAAATTACCTTCTCGTTATTACGCTCTTCATTGCTTTGCGCCTTCTTTCATGCTATCCGGGATACATCTACCCCTAACGTTTAATGGGCACAACGAGTGTGAAACGAGGTAACCTTTCCGCTGATCTCGTCAAATTGGATAAGAGACTTGGGAAAGGAATTGGTGACAAGGGACAACAGAAGTATCTACCAAGGTAGTTTACATGACATGAATGTCAAGAAAGCTTAAGACTGTTTTCATTAGTCGATCAAGTGCCTATTATAGGGACCGGAAGTAACGCGATCTCGTACGACTTCCGGCTGACAATAAATCCTCGTGTCTAAGCAAAGCAACAGCATTGGCACTAAGGACGCTAGTTCTGTACCTCGAGCTAATACCTTAAGGTGATTCTCTAACCGGAAAGAGCCGACTAACGGGGTGCAATGCGCCAGTCTACTGTAAAGGGAGTCGAGTGGGTGGGCAGGCGGGTGGGTTAGTTCTCGTGCGAAGCAGATCGTCCTGCTGTCCGAGTAGGTCCCATGTCGTGTGTGTCCGCTGTCCATTATACGACATAAAATTCCTTCCATCGTCAAGATAAGATCTACCGGGTGAGTCGCGTGTCCTGCCGTGGGATCTGATAACGAGGTAACCCCAGTCGACGGTTCCGTCTCTCTTTTCCCAGTCCGCCTCCTCCCCTAGGAGAACCCCAGTCCCCGGTCCCCTACGACCCCAATCGCCCTGGACGCTTTTCATCGAACCAGTACCTCCCTCCGCCGACCCCCTCCGACCCGTCAGCAGCGTCTAGGAAAAATCGCTTCGCGAGATGTCACAGATAAGGGGGGGGCGGGGTGGGATTTATATATTTTTATCTAACGTTCAATCCCCTTACGTTACAACCCTCTCCGTCAGCTTGTTTAAATTTTAATATTTAAAAATATATTTAAAATCTTGATCCGTTCTCGAACAAATCTGCTACCCTTGCTATACTCAAGGCTGTAATCGGTTCTTGGTTAGATAATTAGAAGCATCAACCCGTCATGCAGGTAACCTAACGCTTTGTGACTGTTGCCGTGACAAAAGTACAACGAGGTCTCTTCGTATGGGCCCATACAATGACTGCCAGGACTACCAACGGTAGAACAACGTGGCGAGGCATTTCCGCATAGGAAGCCGTGCATTAGCCTATCAGATGAAACACGCGCGTCCACTGTTTCGAGTAGCCAACCAAGAAAAACGAAATATTACCAACCGATTGGTTGACACGCGCGAGTTTCGAATTGCGATCGAATTTTCTTTCTTTTATATGGTAACATACCTATGTAGTATACGGCAGGTATGTAAATCCACGATATACGAATGACACGAACTTAGGAGTTGAATATATATTTTTTTTAACGTGGCAACGATTCTACTCAATATTTCCAGCATACGTGGGAAACGAAGAAGAATAGTTGATAAACTTTTGAAGTGGTGCTGTATAGTAAGGAGGATGGAGGAGAAGGGTTGATATATAGAATCGACTCCTGTCAACGTGAAACGCGGGGGGGCGGGGATGATGTTTAAGCGAGCATATAGAGATCTAAGGGATGACGGATGCTGTGGGCAAGACTGGAGGGCAGACACAACAAAATGAACCGAAATGAATCCAAGCCATAATTAGCTTTATGTTTTTCGTCGGGCGAAGCTCGCGACTTCGTTGCAATTTTTACTGGACATTTTCAAACTCTGAACACCGTCTCTCTTTCTTTTATTTTCTCCATCTCTCCATCCATCTCCCTCTCGTACAGAGTAAACTCTTTTGCCCAGGGGTAGCAGGACAAGTTTCGTGAACGTTGCTGATCCTGACAACCGGAGGGGTTGAAAAGTTGTGGAAATGAGAGGGATGACTTAAGAAAAAAGAAAGAAAAGAAAGTTGGCTTCAACCCTTTCTCCCGCTTATTAATCTCCATCCCCCCACCATCAAATTTTATGGGTTTCTCTTTACGCAATGATTTTGGCATGATGTTCGTAAATCGAATAGGGCGTCGCTGTTCTATCTATTATCCGGCTATGATTCTTCCTAAGAGTAGAAGGTGCGATAAGAAGGTAGCCAACGTGGCTACGATGAATAAATAAATAGTCGAGGCTATGACGGGGCCTTGGTCCGCGCCTTATATCTCGGATCTCTATGTACTCAGGCTAATTATAATCAGCCTAATGCCTGGCTGACTAGCTAGCTAACTCTAGTGTTCTAGCTGACTGGTTAGCTGCTAGAGTGACGACTGGCCGAGCCGAGTGCCTGTAGCTTGGTTCGACCTGGTCAAGTATAGAGAAGAGGAGTGACCAGGAGGGGGGGTACACGCAGGGCGCATACGTTACTTATCCAGCTGCTCGGGGGGGTAATTAAGATTTGGACACACCCAACGTGACTCTCGTCTCTTGGGTTCTGACCGCTTCTGCGAAGGGAGTGGTCGGCCGAGTCCCTCGAAACGTATCTCGTTTGCATAAAAGCAAACCACAACCTGAGAGCCACTCGACGTCCGTATCAAGTCAAGAAAGTGATGGTACCAGGTCACGCTGTTATCAGGAACGAGGCTTTGTAATGAATTATAAATCAAACTCACCGGAAGTTGGAGAACCATTTGACCAGTTGGGCGGTATTGTTCTTGTTGAATTTGATGTCCGGGAAGTACATCTTAAGGACGGCCGAGGATGGGTATCTCACCCAGAAGAACATCAGCTTCGCCTTTCGCAGATGCATCGGCGTCAACGTCGACGAGTTCACAGTGGTTAAGGAAATATCAATTTTATACAATGTCCTTAAAATCTAATACGATTAGGTCTTAGAATTGGTGAAGGTTCCTAACATACGGTGCCAGGCGCCAGGGTGGATTTTAAGTGAAGTTAAGGGAATTTCTAATTTCGTAAGATCGCCGGAATAGCATTGGTGCAGACATCTCAAACTTAATCGTGTTTTCCTTCGTATCAAATTGGATTAGAAATCGTACAAGCTGTGAGTATACGGTAGAGGGATAGGGATCGCTGGTAGTAGGGGTCTAATGTTCGCTCAGGTTGACCTACGATTGGCCGCAGTCTCAGCGGAAGCCTTACCGACTCCTTACCAGTAATAGGATAGCCACATGTGGTTTCACTGCATTCTTATTCGGTTAATCCGACTGTTGGATCTTTTTCGTATTTTCGAATCATTCTAATTCGATCTTACAATCGCGAATCGCTATACATCTGTTAGCGATAGGCTAAGGGCGACTGACGGTTAGGTAATTATATATTCCTGAGTCGCGAGTACGTATTGTGCATAATAAGAATCTGAAGACCTGTATATATGCTTCATCCTTTTTTGCATCATTTCAACTCTTAACCTTCCAAACCCCTACTGTCGATCTATCCGATAGAGTCAACCTACTAGCCACCCCCTGACTCCTCCACGAAAATATTTGGCTACATTAAGCCAGCAACGTCGTGTGGTTCACAGACAAGGGTGACTCTGGCTGCATCCACTGCACGACCTATCCCACGGAAAAATTGCGCCATTGATTTTACATCAAAGGCTGAGAGAAAAAAAAAGGCACAAAACGCGTTCATCGAACGATCTCCCTTACTCTGAAACGACACGGTACGGCAGGAGACGACACGATTCTCACAGTCGGTAGCAAATGGGGAGTGAGGTACAAAAAAAAAGAAAAAAAGATTATGGAAGAAAGATAAAGTGGTACAAAAGTTCATGGGCCAGAGTGGGGGATGATTGTGGTAACTGCCATTATTGATATTGGGGTTTATGTCAAGTTTTACCCTCCTTGGAAATAATGCCAGGGGGGCGGAAAACGTCTTCGCGCCTCATCATTATCGTAGTAAATTCCGAAATTGCAAGACAGATTATTGGCTTCCAAAGTTCGGGCACTAGCTTTGTCCCTGGGGCCTCTCAGGAGCGTAGAGAAAGGGACCACGGTGGCTCTAGAACTTTTGGCTGCTTGTTGGCAGACAAACTACTCGTAGGTGCAGCCAACATTAGCCTAACTCAGCGCGGCAAACTAATTTAACATTCATGCGCCTCGCTCGACTCGACTCGAGTTGACTCGAACCGCCACGAATCGAGCTCACGACTCAGACTCGAGTCTTCCATGAAAAAGTAGTGAGCAGCTCCGTGGCTTGAGAACTTCCGGAAACCCTTCACTCTTTCCTCAAACGTTTTTAAGCAGTATCGTCTGTCTACGTACGTATTTGGATTTCTGACTTTCTCATCGTATCTCTTACTTACTAATTTAGCCTTGTCTGAACTCAACTACTACTTTCTAACAAAGTACGGAAGCTTACGGATACCTATGGACCATCCCTCCATCCCTCTACGCTCTCCCGAACGCTTGGGTAGTTGCATTCTTTTTTTCGGGTTGGACCATTTTTTTTTGAGTTACTCCATCTTTCGGACTAATGAAGATAAAAGAGGTAGCTTTTGATCAGATTTAAATTTGATAACTAGATTTAATTTTTAGGAAATGCGGATTTTGAGTTTGCTAATTTGGTCACCGATGTTTTTTTGGGATTACTTTTTGTCTGTTGTCGATTTTAAAAATTCATATCCTTAAGATATATAGTATTAGAAAAGGATATTGTAGGCTGAACTCCGTCGTAGCTGATCTCTCCGGAATTGCAATCGCTACCCCTGTCGTTGCTGTCCATCCTTAGGTGTCCGTAATCGGGACTGCCGTGTGCTGCAGCGAGTAACGCAGGATGTAGTATCGCTGGTGGATGAGGTAGTGGTGGTGAGTCCCTGAGTTCGACATGCCCGCTCGGCGGACTTGCCGGTAGGTGATGTGCTCCCGGGGGTGGCACCTGACCAGGGTGACCCGCGTGGGGGTTGAAGAACGGCGAGTACGGCGAGAAGACTTGACTCTCGTGGAGGCTGGGATTTGGTATCGCTACACTTGTTGGTAACGAGACTGGGAGCATCGGAGGTGGCGCATGATAAGGTCTTGGGGGTGGTGGCGGCGGTGGGCTGTCACTACCGCCCTGAGACCCGTTACCCTCTTGGGCTAAAATTCTCGATACCGTCCTTGGGGTAATTCGAGTATCCGTCACCTGAAATGAACCAGATTTTTTTTTGTTATTAGAATAGACCATAATGTTAGGGATGATAAGGAATTAATTAATTTTATATATAACAAAAATAAATTTCTGTTTACATAGAATTGTCCAACCTTATGACGTTTCTTCTTTGTCGTCATAACGAGGGACAGGGCCTCGTTTTGTTCGGAGTCCCTAGTTTCACGATCATCGATCCTTAGTCCGCAGTACTGATCTCTTTGGAGTTGCTCGCGTTGTTGCTGTTCGCGATGATGTTGCTGCTGCTGTTGCTGCTGCTGCTGTGCCTGCATCGAGGCCATGCCGTATATCGTTGGAGGCTTTGGGGTTTGGAACATGCCAACGCTGGGCCTGACGTGCGGTGGCAACTGATTTATTTGGTTGAGGTTATTTTCTGTGGGTCCAGAATGAGGTCCGTGAGGACCCATAGGTCCCATTTGCACGAAACCCGGGGGATGTGGCGGCGGGGGCCCACCATTGAGGGGCCCCCGCGGCCCGTTTGGGCCATTCGGTGGTTGTGGTACTCCCCGGTCAACGACCTTCGTCCTGGGCGACTTCCTCTCTAGGAGTTGACTCGCCAGAACGATGTCCTTGTTTAGCTGATCAACCGCCGCCTGCGCAGCCTCGGTCTGCTTACCAAGAAACCTCCTTTGCTGCGCAAACCTAGCTACCGTAGTCTCTATTACATTGGTCAAGGACGACGTGATCTCTGTTTTCAAAATATCAGCAAGACCGTCCAGGTCGGTACCGGTGATATGGTTGGCACCAGAGGATGCCGCACTGACGGCACCCCGAAATACGTTCAACCTCTCCTGGAACTCTTTGTGCTGTTGTTGAAGTGGAGTTACGGGTTGCATGGGCGTCTGGGGCGTTGGTGGCCCTGTCCCATTTTGACTTTGTTGTTGACTTTGCACGGACGGCTGCGGCGAATTCTGCGGATGATGTTGCTGTTGCCTGGCAGCAGCTTCCTGGTGCTGCTTCATCCTTTCCAACGCCGCATGTTGCTGCTCCAGGTAGAGCTTGTGTCCCATGTGATACATGGCTGCAGCTGCTGCGTGCGGATGATCCGATGGCAGGGCTGCCAACCCATTGTAGGGTGGTGGGTGAGGCCTTGGTGGTCTCGGAGGTGGTTGCTGAGGTTGATGCTGAGGACTAGGTGGGGTTTCGCCACTCTCGCTTACTTCCGTATCCATCCGACTCGAGAGCTCTGCATATTTCTGCTGCATTGCTGTCAACTCTGCGTGTAACGACTTTAGCTGACTCTTCAAGGTATCCTTCACTTCGCGCTTCTGTCGTATCGTCACTGGATCTTCTTCCTCCTCGCTCTCGTCGTCATCTTCTAGTATCGTTTCACTGACGTCATGATGGAAAACATGGTGGACCGTCTGTTGCTGGGGTTGGTAGAGCTTCCTCTTCTTGCAGCCATTGACGGTGGGGGTGGTCTGTAGCGCGGGACTACTGCGCATCGTACTGACGATGTTCTCGACGCGGGCTCGTTTGATTTCAGTGGTGGGCGAACTACTTTCGGTTTTTGGTACGATAGGACACGGCGAGTGGCTAGGACTGCGTTTCAGCGCAAGTGACTCCTGGAGTTCCTCCTTAACGGAAACGGAAGCGGATCGCGTCACCGATGGACTAGGAGGCAGACTCTGCTCACAGTCGGAGCCATCGAGATTGGCTCCTGGGTCCATGCCAGCTTCGGCAAAGGCCTCCTCCATGGCGCGAGCTGCTGACGCCGCATCCTCAGCACTGTCCTCCGCATCCCCCGGCATCACCAGGTTGTCCCGATCACCGTGATTCTGATTCGCGATGGCGCTGCCTGTCCCCGTGCCCGCGGACAGCGTAATCGGCACGCCTGAACCCGGTATCGCGTTCACCAAATTGTTACAGTCACCACTATCCTCCCCTCCACTGTGCACTGTCCCACTGACCGCGCACGCACTCTCACTGTTTTGTTGTTGTCCCTGTTGTTGGGGACTGCTCTGCTGATGCTGATGCTGCTGAACTTGGGACTTGAGGAGATCCGTCGTGGTGTTGTTGTTGTTACTATGTATACTGTTGTTGTTGGTAGGCTGTTCTTGAACGGAGAGAGCGGTAAGCTTGCGTCCCTGAAGTATATCGCGGAGCATGTGCTGGGTGAGCTCGACGGCGGTGGCTGGGTCGTCGCAATTGGCGGCGGCCGCAGCGGCAGCAGCTGCGGCAGCGGCGGCGGCAGCGGGTGGCTGGAGGTTAGCCGCGGCAGGGTCCATGCCGGCGCCTGTCATGCCGTGGGTACCCTCGGGCGGCGAGCCGCCGGCGTCGCTGGCCTGCTTGACCTGTCGTCCGAGGAGCTCGTTGAGCATCTTGGCGGGGCCGAAGCCCGGGGCGCCGAAGAATCCGAAGGCCGCGTGGGCGGAATGCTGACTGGTGGGTCCCGTGTTGCCGAGGTGGGCCTGGGTGCCCGCGGCTCCAGGCTGCTGGAGCTGCTGGGGTCCGTTACTGCTGAAGATAGCGCCGTAAAGACCGCCACCGAGGAAGGATGGCCGGGAGCTGAAGTTCGGAATGCTCGAGTAGCTGTTACGCGGCTCTCCGGCGTCCACGCGCTGTCTGGTGCGCTTCTGCTTCTTCAGGAGTTGCTGTTGCTTGCTGTCCGTGGTTGCTCCGTAGAGGGCGAAACAGTCGGTCTCCTCCTCCGATGACATCATCGGCCTTCTGGTTGGTCGGCCCCCCGAAGGCCTCCGCGTCCCCTCCCCGCCAGGGCTCCTCGTCACCCCTCCCCTTCTCGCTCGAATAGCCCCTCGTGGCTCAGCGCGCTGCTTCTGCTTCTGCACTCTGCCACTACTACCACCACCTTCCCGTTCCTTCTAGCCGCCTCGGATCCCCACCACCAACACTCCTGCCCGCTTTCTCGCCCTTCTCCTTCTACTTCTCCTTCTCCTTCTCCTTCTCCTTTTGGCCCTCTCCCTCTCACGCTCGTCCTCGTTGCCGTTCTCAGTCCCTGTATCTTCCACACCTTCCACGAGTCTTCTGCTCCTGACCTTCCGCTCTTTCTTCTCTTTCTTCTCTTTCTCCTTCGCCTTCCTCTCCTTCGTCTTCGTCTTTTTCTCCACTTCCGCCTCTTTCTCCGCCTCAAGCGTACTCTCTTCTCTCGCCGTCGCTTTTTCCTTCTCTTCCTCGTCCTCCTTCCTCACTTCCTCTTCTTCTCCTTCTTTTCTTTCTTCTTCTTCCTCTTCTTCGGCCGCCGCCGCCGCCGTCGACGACGTCGGCACTATTTCTCCTTTCCTTCCTCTCGAATCTCACCCTTTCCGTTTCACCTTCTTCCTCGTCCTCCTTTTTCTCTTCTTCTACTTCTTCTCTTCCCTATTCCTTTCCCCACTCCTTCCGCCGAGGGGTTGAGGCCAGCAGCTGGTACTTTTCAGAGACTCTGTGTCGGCGGCAGCTCGTCCTCGAATCGAGCTGATTCAGGGGGATCGGTTCGTTGTTATTGTCGGCGGGTCTGTTTCTTCTGCTACTGCTGCTACTGCTGATGTTGCTTTTGCGACTGTTATTGCTGTCGATACGGCTGCTCTTGCTTTTCGTGGAGGACGCGAGAAATGAGGCCGGAGGTCTCGCTGGCGGACTTCTCGTGCTCCCGCCTGGGAGCTGCATCCTTCGAGCTCGCCAAAGGGCTAGCTGCCCCAAACCTCCTCGTCTCGATTGTCGATGCTTCGATTTTTATCCAGTCTGAAACCAAAACAAAAGTAACCCCCTCTTAGTCAGAGTATCCAGAATATCGCCAATCTTGGACATAAAGAAAAAGAACACTTATAAGTTCTAAAACAGAATGAAACGTATCGAAAATTTTCAGTTTTATTTTCTTACTTTTTCATATTCTTCCTCTTTTATTATCGACTACGAGACTACGCCCTTCGATTCCACCTCGCTCGTCCTATCAGACACGATGCTCTCCGATCGTCCATAAGAAAATTGTCGTACACCAATATCTTATTTAGTAAGTACCTGCATCAAGTCATATGTCACAGTGGCGTACCAGTCTGAGAAAAGTCTGCGAAAGGGGGTTGTCGTGCAGGTCGATAGTTGACCAAAGAAAAAAAATAATTGATAGCCCCGGTATATAGTCGAACCGACCAAACCCACCCTTACTCGATCCCTCAACAATTCACTTTATTTTCTACCTCTATCTCCGACCCCTAACATCACCCCTATACCTTAAGCAGAACTTACTCCGACATTTCGCACGAACCACGACAGTCAGAAAGAACCTGGTACACCAAAGGTGTTCCAGTGTCCTCCAAAGAATGTAGTACTACTTTACGAAAACAAGAGAGGGATAAGATCTATTGAGATAAATATTTTCTTCAAAAAATCCTTCAGCATCATTTCCACCCCTTGATATCTCGTCACCGATACTCCTAACTGTATCTACCCTCGATGCCAGTGGAGGATATCGCGTTGGCGTCCCGACGCCAAGCTTCACGTATAGCACTGTTGCGCCCGTGAGGATGTATCTATTAACGCATACATACACGCACACACTTCTCCTGGAAGCAACAGCTGAGCAGCTTAAAGCACCTGCGCTCAATAGGCCGACCTATTCCGCAGCTCGTAGTTCCTAACCCGCGTGCGTTTGCTGTCGACCCATGGATGCTAGCTAGTCTACCTTTAAAGTCTACAAGTACACCGCCTATATATAGAATCTCAACACATGCCCTTATATGAATATCGATATTGATATCGATACGTATATATATGCATATACGTACGTGGAAACCCACAAAGTCTCCTATGACCAAGGGAAATCATCATACCGACATTGGTTTCTCGATTCTCGACTATAGCTACGATCGTTAATTACCACGCGTCTCCAAGTAGAAATTGCTCACGGAATTAATTGAATTTTGCAAATACGTAATTCCGAGCACGATATTTCAGACCAAGGAAGTTGGACCGTGACGATGTGGTATATATGGGGTAAATTTTTTTTTCAAATAATTCCGTGGGCTTACCTGGGTCATGCTATGTGTGTATGAAATGGAAGTTGGTCTGGTAAGGTTGGAGTACGTCGTTACCGGAAGCGTCGGTTAGGTGGCAGAGGACATATGGCTCTATCCTGGCGAAATGTAAGGTACGATAAGGTCTTTGAAATTAGGAATTTAACTGGGGAAGCTTCGAGGGGGGCCCCCCCGTATTCACTCCTTGTTATACTTGCTTGGGGAAGCATGCGTGCTTCCATGCGTGGGATAAAAGGTGCAAGGCCGGAAATGGCTTCGGGAACCTCCGGCCTCCCTCTTCCGTTATACCCCACCTTCCTCCTCGTTCTCAAGCATACTGTACTGACATTAGAGTCAGTCGGAAGTAAATGCCAAGGTAATTACGAAACGAAGTGTTCATGACTGTGACACTTGAGTCATACCTCTATTATCTAGTGTATGGATTATACTAGGCATATATTTATATGCACACAGTATACCAGTTAGATTAAAAAGAAGTGAAAGAAAAACGAAGAATTATTAAGAAGTGAGGTTGTCCCATGAGGTCACGATTACATTTGTTTTCACTTACTTTGTGCCAGTACACTTTATTATTATTATTCTTGATATATATATATAGACATATACATATGCATATTAAATGAAAATATTTTTCAAAATCGAATAATTGAATTTTGATAAATTTTGGTGTCAACATTTTTTAGGATCGTATCCCGGAAATTTAGTACGCTGCGACCGAACCAGGAAGGATTAGTCCCAGGTAAGGAGTGGAACTGAAGATAGAGGATGCTAAGGTCAGGCAGAAACTCCCACGTGAAACTTGATAAGGCCCCAGGTTACAATTTGAGCTGAAGACCAGAGCCAGGATCGTTAGCGTACTTCGATTCGCCATTGTTTCTAACTATCGACTCGTGAATGCTTGAGAATTTCACGCAGACTCGTTTCCGAAGTATATTACCCTTGGCTTTATGTCCTTCCGCCATTTTCCCTACACCTGCTCTAGTTTTCTGTGATCACTCGGCTACCAGCATCAGGCATAGCGCGTTCGCCTGGTATCACATGGCGTTTCGCTTCCGCATGACGAGGGCGAGTCGGAAGGGGTGCACGGCCAGTTCCAGCGGCATGTGCATTGGAATTTCACCCCCCGTAGGTGTCATGTGGCAAAGTTCGCTGGGGGTGGCGTATGGGAACTCGATCGTGGCCATCAGTCCATGTCCATAGCGTCCTCCGACTAGGGAGGAATTATCTACCTACCTATATACCGTATACGTGTATCTACTTTGGCACCCTCATTAGAAAATTATTTGTAACATTCGTTGAGTTATTAGTCGCACCCTCCACCCTCCATTGCTCCCTTGGCTGCATATGCATTTCTGCACACAGCCATCTAATTATCAATGTGCATGTATACTGATCGTGAACGCCATTAGTGGGGCTAGACACACGGTGGCTGTATATATGCCTACAGCGAGAGTGACAGATATATATATATATATATATATATATCTCTCTCTCTCTCTCTCTCTATATATATATATATATATAGAGACGTATATATGCATAGACATTGAGGTGTACGGCCCGACATTATCGGTGCTGGCTCCGATGCAACAAGTTGACCGGTGTCAATTGATGCGTTATTAATTGGAGGTTAATTGCGTTAATGCGCTCGCGAGCCGGGCTATCGGCTCCCATACCTCCCCTTGTTGTTATTATTATTTTGCATACGAATCGTTTTAATTCACTGGCGAGCTACCAAAAACCACAGGTATCGCGCGCCGGCCGCGATTTTCATAATTCACAGACCGCTAAATTCGTTTAGTTTTTAGCCGCTTTCGCCTCTCGCGTCGCCGATTCATTAATCTGTGAACCACCAAATTAGCTGACGCGCATACACTACCACCCTACTCCCACATGCAGTCAAGGTCATGCTATGGTATAAATGAGTATGTGCACGCATGCATCCACATACTCGTATTGGTTTAATACTGTATGTTGACAACCCCACTCGTCCACCCACTCACACGCCCAGGCCCGTTTTCAATGAGTTTACCTTTTAAAAACAATACGGGTCAATGGCGGGATCACGTTATTATCAACGCGAGCTTTACTTTCGTGCGGTTTCGATTTCGTTTGTGTCGCAGCTGTGCGAATTAACCTTGAATTATCAACGTGATTTTGAGGGATTGGGATTTACTTTTTTTTTTATGAAATTTTGTTAGTCAATATTTTTTTGGAGGATTTTTTAAAAAGGTTACTTCAAAATTCCCGGGCTTTTTAGCGGTGGGTAATTTTGTCTGGTTTTTTTTCTTATCTCCCGTTTCGAAGCAGAACGTGAGAAACTTGACCTGAGAAAGGGATGCGATCTTTCGGATGAGATAATCGAAGAAAAAGGAATTTTTTCGAAAGCTTTTTGGAAATTGTGAATTCTATTTTTGAAAATGGCTTTGAGAATTTTACAAGGTGCAGTTTCGGGCCATGCTCGCAGATCCTCGTAGACTAAAGTCGTGAGACATCAGTCTTCTTCGTTCGAAGGTTCCCATGACTTCTCTCTGTGGGAAATACTAAGGTCTGATATTGAAAGCTGCAAAAAATCCTACGAGACGCCCTTCGTCCTCGTCCGGAAACGAAATAGGAACAACGGTCCTTGCCCTCAAGGGCGTAGACTCACCTGAGTACAGGACTAAGAAATTCATGAGACCTTATACGACCATTTCAGTATTTCACTACTACATTTAAAAATTTGACTATTCAAAAAACTTGTTACACTACAGTCCTAATATTTCATTGTAAAAAGATATTTACAATTTATAGTCAGTATAAGTAATCCCGTTAGAAACCATTAGAACAGTCTCCTGATTCAGCTAGGCCGAAACGTGTTCAACGACTTTGGGTATTCTCACAAACAGTGGAAAATTCCGAAATTTTTAACTATCCCTCGATAGTCATTTTTTAAGCAAGTACTCTCTTATCGTGGAAATTCACAATGACGATCTCGCAGACATAATAATAATAGAAACGACAAGGTTATTCATTTCATATAAGAATATCTTAAAGATCCCAAATGATAAAATCCCCTCAAGTCGACACCACTGCAAGATGATGGGGGCCCCCTTTGGCGCATTCAGGTGGTTCAACCGGGTGGTTGCGATGCCCAATTTAAATGTCCAGGTATCCCCCAGGGCGGCCTCGGCCCTGCAAGGTAACATCTCAAATCCAAGAGGAAGGGCGAGAAGCGCTTTCTTAGGAGTCGGAAGGTGCGCGCGCGCACTCGCGCGTGCCATCTGCCGTTTCTTGCAGCGTGGTGCGTTGCTGCGGCGACGGTAAGGCGTAACCGACGTTTCGGCTTCTTCCAGCCATTCTTACACAAAGGTACCCAAGGGGCCCTTCCAACGTCTTAGGGAACCCCAGGGAGCAGCCTTCCTCGTCTAACGTCTTAGCGACATCAGGAAATGAACAATAAGATCGTGAAAGGCAGAAAGTGGAACCGGTCGAGATCAACGGTCTTTCTTGAGTCGGCAAGGCGTCGCGTCGCGTGCCTGTATGGATGAGATCATTCTGGTACATGGGGGATGACTGTACAGTGAGAAAAATCAGAATATGAATAAGGAGATGAAAATCTAAAAAGAAAAGGGATCACACGTGGTCCATGCTGTGCATATGAGCTCGCTCACCGGGTCATCCAGTTCAAATGCACTAGTTAAATGTGTGTGACTGTCATGTGAATCCTAT